TTTGTAAGATCAAGCTCAGCTCGTGGATCTTTGATTCTTTTAGACAAGTCGTTGGTCTTTCGATTTTCCTTTGACCTAGTATGAATAGTAAATGGGTATAGTCCCGGTTGATGCTGCTGACATAGATGTAGATGGGGCGCCTTGATTAAGAGGTTGAGGGGGCCTCCGATCCTCTTTCGTGTGCAACGGTTAAGAGTGGAAAACCGCTCCTCTAACTTGAGTGGCTTGACGCTCCTATGACAGTCCTAGTTGGAACTCGTACCCCCCCTCGCTATCTATCGTCAGTTATTGTCCCAGGCGAGGAACTGCTTGTATCAGACCTGATTCTCGCGCAGCAAGATCTTTTGTGAGTGCCCTTCCTTTGGGGCTTGAGGCTCATCTCACGATGTTCGTCTTGTCTGATTGTTTTTGTCTTGGTTGGTACGCTCCCCCTTGTGAAAGAAGTCCTCTATCTGCACACTAACCTGGGAGACTTTCACCCAGTTTTTCCCTTGATGCTTCTAAGCCGCTTTGAATTGGCCTGTGCCCGTTGATGAATCATCAATCCATTCAGCCGTCACGTCAGCCGAGAAGACGGACTTGCTGGTATCGTCAAATAGAGTATAGAATCCTTCTTCCGCTCTAGTGGCGGGTTTATCTTTTCATTAAGTAGCCCCTCATTAACCTCGTACACTGAGTCAAGCAACTTCTCCTTTTCTGTCATGAAGAGGAAGTGAGATGATGACAATGCGGCTGGGAAAAATCCATATCAATCCATTTCTTCTATAAGAGAATTGGATCCCGACCCAGACCTAAGAAATGAAATTAGATGCCGATTTCATTCCAGTAGTACCCGTTGCTTCTTTTGTTGGGTTGGTTGGAGTGCTTTAATCAGACTTGACCGAGTAGATCATGTTGGGATCTTCACCATGAATGATCCTCCGGGCGAAGCATCTCATGGCACACCATTGATCAATAAGACAGGAGAAATAGAATAGACAGGGATAACCCCCATTCCTATCAGCGTGAAATGACATTCATTCAATCAGTCCTCTCCTCCGCTCTCTCTGTCCCTGGCTTCTACTTTCACATACCTTCTGGCCTCAGTCGTTGACTTTGCCCCTTCCGCTCCTCCATTTAACAAGCAATTTAGTGGTTGTTCGCTCCTGAACGAAGCTATTGGGACAGCGGCTTTGATAGCGCTTTCTCAATGAGAGAGATCATATCGTGGTAGAGCTCCTATCCGTGCTTTGACAAATCCCTCTCTGGCGTCATCTACTGGCTGACTGCACACTGCCTTCTGCCTGACTATGGCTTTTAGAAAGCAAGATCCCTCCGTTTATCACTCTATAGAAAGAACATCCCATACAGAGTCTTTCAACTAACAACTAAGCTATTCGAGCCTTCACCTAAGCTCTCATCGATAGAGCCCCTGTCTCTTTGATTCTTGTATACAAGTCTGGTAGTCAATTGTTCTAGCAAGGATGGGCTAGTTGCCTACTCTCGCCTAACCCGCCCCTTTGACTGATGATCAATATGACAAAAGTAATCTATCTTGATCCTTATATGACGCAATTCATAGATTTGGGCAAGTCAGAGTGAAATCAAAGTCAAGTTATTGGCGATCATACCTACTCAATGAGAATGCTCTCAAGTCCAGTCAATGTCTTTTTGATGATACGATTCTCAGGTGCGAACTCAAATAAGGAGGGGGCCCCACCAGTCATAGTGTTCACTCTTCCCCATAAGAATAAGAACAAAATTCCTGGGGTTTTTTATTCCTTAGTAGCTTTGACAACATTCGTCTCTGTGTGAGCCCTCATCTCATGCTCCTACTACCTCTTAACTTCAAGTGGGAGTGATGGACGAGTGAAGATCGCCAGCTCTTTCTTCCCCGTGAATTGACTTCAACTGAAATCGGGCGGACCGGCTTCTCCCTTTGAGCATAGCATGCTTTTGGGGAGTAAGTCACTTAATATAGTATATTATGTGAGAATCGATTCTTACATCACATCAAAATAGCATGTCTATATACTTATCTACAGGCAGTTCCTCTTTTTTACCTTCCATTCATTTTGAAAGAGAAGGTTTCCTCTCACCTAAAGAATGGATCAGAGAACGACGGCCTACGCATTGCAGCCACAACATTACTGGGCAAACTAGTATAGATTTCGGAAACTCCGGATCCCCCTAGTTGAAGACTATCGCCCACAATTAGAACCATCTAAAATAACGTCTATGATGGATCCATTACGAATGTCTCGTCCCAGAAGACCATCACTCAGGTTTCACTGATCGAGCAACGCGGTTATTTCGCGGACCTTTCTGTTCCTAGTTAAAGTGTAGGCCTTTTGGACTTAAGCTGGGATTTGGTATTTCGACCCAGGTGTTACTATCATTTCTAGGCATCGTCTGTACTTAACAGTTCCCTTTAGTGTAGTTTCTCGGAGATATCTGGATTATTAAAAAAAAAAAAAACAAAAAAAGGGGACGAAAGAGAAGAAAAAAGGTAGTTTACTTG